GAGGTTCATTAAACTCACGAAAGGTTGATATTTAAAAAAAGACATACATACGTGAGTGAACGTTGAACTTTCTCCATCATCCGTGGGTTTATGTGTGTGTGTGTGTAGGGGGGGGGGGTGATAATATATATCAACCATCTTAAAAAGAAATCATTTTAAAAACGTTTTGATCTTAATATAGTAACAGAATGAAAAGTGCCGAAACTTATGTTGGTGAATTTTGCCTTTGAACTTATTCTTCACCGTGCCACATTTTCTAATGATACTTACTTTCCAACTGGGTCCTTGGGATATAAAACTCTCCTTTCGTATACACACGTACAGATGTACAAATATTCGAATGGGGGACGAGATTTTTATGAGAAAAAATAAAAAAAATAAAAAAAATAAAAAAAGATTTGCAGAAAAAGGAACTCACTAGGACGATGTTCTTTGCAGATGCACAAGAATTTCCGAGAGAACAGGACAGCGGCCATTTTACGTTGGATTTAACGGACTTTTTTTGTCAAGAGGACACTTACGAAGAATTACGTTAGTTCTTTTTTCTTTTTTTTTTTTTACTTTTTTCTTTTTCTTTTTTTTTTTTTTTATTTTATATAAGGGGAAAATTTTTAATTTCATTTAGAGAGTTTAATGTCTTGAAATTAATTGAAATTACGTTTTAATATTCGAACGCATGTAATTCTATATATATATATATATATAAAACAAAATTAATTTATTAAATAAATTTAATATAAAACAATAATTATTACAAAATAATTATGAATCATCGCGAATTTAATTGAATTCAATCTTTGAACAATTGCAATCGTAAGTTCAATTAATAATTAAACACAAAATTAAGTGGAAATTTGCAAAGTTTCGAAATAATTTCAATGATTTATTCAAATTCATATTGATGAACAACTCATTGAATGAACTCGTTAAATACATTTGATAAATTCATTTAAAAACAAAACAAATGATCAAATGAACGAAGACAAAACTAGAAATTCTCATCTCTTTGAGTTTTAAATACTCGACACATGTCTTATAGTATTAACGTTTACTATAATAAAAAAGAAAAAATATAAATGTTATGTGGTATTCGATCGGTAAAACGAAAGAGAAAGATGATAAAATAAAAGCGATAGTATAGTATAATGGGCACGAGTGATCGAACTAGAAGTGGTCACGCGTCACTCATGTCAAATTCAAGTGCACGTATGTAGGTATAATACTAATACGTTGTAGTAGAGTGTATAATATACTTTTTAAGTAGATTCAGTGATCTTCAAATTGTATATTACACTATAGATTCAAATTTTAATACAACCATTTATCAATAATTATTACAAAAGTATTTTTGTTTAAAAATATATTAGAAATCGTATTTTTAGAATTAACCAAAAATTCGTGCGTTGTAAAACACATTACGAATTTAATTTTCTTTTTTTTTTTTTAATAAAATTTACTTAAAAACTATTAATTTAAAAAACTCACGCGTGTACTATTGGTTCACTTTTAATCATATAATTTTTGTTCATTTATTTGGAAATATTTTTACGATTTGAAAGCTGGGGCTTTAATGAAATAACTTTTTTTTTTTTTGGTATTAACGTGAATAAAAAGGGTTTCGTAAATCGTAAAAAGTTTGACGATGATCACTGTGTGTTGTTCCTATAGGATCGTATCGAGGTTTCTCCGACGACACTATCGCACATTACTTTTCGGGCCAGTCACTCTCTCGCCTGGTAGAATTTGAACTCGAAACGTTTCGGTTCTCTCTCTTTCAACCAGTCAGTCTCTCACAGTCGTTGTCTTTGTGCCGTTAACAAAGTATCTCGGTTCAACATGAGTTCAGTTTATCGTTCATCCTATACTGTTTCATTACAAATGTTACATGGATTCACTATAATACCTATTTCATCACAAATATATTGTTGTTAACATTTTTTTACATTTCCAATCAATTTCGTGAGGTGTACCAATCAAATAGAACAAACATTTTTGACAACATTTCTGGCAACATTTCTGGCAACATTTCTATTCTGTTCTATTTTTGTTTTCATTTTAACAAATTTTTATTAAACAATAATACATCTTTTTTAAATATTTAAAAAATAGTTTGTATACTTGAATTTTTATATATTTGATATTAGAAAATTATTTTTACTAGGAATAATTGATTACAAATCAAACACAATTGACACGATGTTATAGGTTTTTGATTCTTTTATGTAATCTTCAAATAATATTATCGTGTAATAAGTATTTTATCAAATTACATGATCGTCAGTTGCTATCAACAAAAAAACAAACATGTACCCAAAAAAATTAATATTACGAATTTTCGTGTATGGTTCCATTTAATCTTCAAACGGTAGCTCAACACGGTAACATTTATTTTATTCAATTTAATCTTTTAACCTTTTATTTCTATACTTGATAAAAATATTTCTCTTATCAAATGTCAACAGGCAATATTGAATCAAAAAATTGACATTATATTTTACAGTTCTATTTGAATATTTTAATTAATAGTAACACGGTCAAAATGATTTTCTCGATTTTAATGATGTAGAAAATATTAAAGTTTATGTTCTATGTTTCATTTAATTTTACAATAATTTTATAAATTATTTTATTACAAATATAAACATTTTTATATGACACACCAAAATTTTTACGAATAACGTTTAATTTTATAACAATTCTATAATAATAATAATTATTATTAAATAAGAAATAAAATTGTTCACGAGATGTTATCGTAAAAATGTTAATTAATCCGTTCGTTTTAAATTGTTCATAGTTATTGTTGTTGTTGAAATATCACACTAAATATATAAAATTAATATTTTTATCAAATAAAATTTCCAATCTATTAAATATAACCGATACAGAGTTATCAATACGTTCTCGTTAGGTACCACCGAACTAACTAACGACAAAAAAATTACACAAACAGTTTGTAATCATGCTCAATTGATAAATAATCTGATTCTTTCTGACGTGAATAAAAGACGATTGAAAAAAAAAAAAAAGGAAAAAGAAGGGTATAATCGAATGTATCGCGAGAAGATAATCAGTAGCGTTATAAAATTCCTCATCGGCATATCGAGGAACAAAACCACACACATATCCGGGGATTAAAAATTATTTTTAATATTTTTTCAGATATCAATTAGTATATCATAACAAAAAAAATAAAAGTTTTCTTATTGAAGCAGTATTATTGAAACTGTAAGAAAAAAAAAAGAAAAAAACAGTAAGCCTAAAAATAATAATTTTCAATTTTAGTAACGAAAATGACTAATTTAAACTATTGTAAATTAAATTAATAACAAAACTAAATTTAAAAATAATTATTATACATATTTAAATTTGGTCAGATAGGATTTTACATTTTTCTTGTTTATTTTATTATTTTATTATTAATTTGTTTCTGCTTTTATTTGATTTTCTTGACCTATAGTACTTTATCATAGTGATTGAGTGAACTTAATGTGAAAAGTAAAATAGAAAAAAAGAAATTGGATCGATATACATGTATGTATATAATATACAAATATATATGTGTGACATGCTATCGATTTATTTCGAATTAAAAAAAAAACCACGAGAATATCGATCTACGATTAGGCTATCTACGATTAGACGACCCTAGTTTTGCGTGTGAGATCATTCATATGGACGCGCCTTTGGACTCGTTTTATTTCTCCGACGAGGATGATAACTTGGACGATAAATTATTCACCGATGACGATGGTATGTCCTATGTACCTGTATATTCCTCTAATTTTATAATATATATATATATATTAACATTTTTTACAAAATAACATTATTTTATCTACGATTAAAATATATTCATCATTTTTTCGTACTTCAAGTACATTCCCTTTATTTTTCAATGAATAAAATATATTTTTATTCATTTCAAATCACTCGTTCATTTACAATTAAATATTCATCGTTTTACGTAATCCAAGTATATTTTTGGTTTTTTTTTTCTTTTTTTGTCAATCAATAAAAACACATTTCATTTTATTAATTTCAAATCACTTGTTCTGATCAATACGAAAAAAACTTTTTAATCATTTACAATTAAATATTCATCGTTTTACGTAATCCAAGTATATTTTTGTTTTTTTTCTTGTTTTGTCAATCAATAAAAATACATTTTATTTTATTAATTTCAAATTACTTGTTCTGATCAATACGAAAAAAAACTTTTTAATCATTTACAATTAAATATTCATAGTTTTACGTAATCAAAGTATATTTTTGCTTGTTTTTTTTCTTGTTTTGTCAATCAATAAAAATACATTTCATTTTATTAATTTCAAATCACTTGTTCTGATCAATACGAAAAAAAACTTTCTAATCATTTACAATTAAATATTCATAGTTTTACGTAATCAAAGTATATTTTTGTTTGTTTTTTTTTCTTTCTTTTATTTCAATCAATAAAAATACATTTCATTTTATTGATTTCAAATGAACGAAAGAAAATAATAATTAAGAATAGAAATGAATGAAAATAACATTATAGTTAAGATTAATAAAGTGTATTCTTATATTAGTATCATTTATTGTTGACGATTGAATAAGATCAAAAAGTTTCTTCTTCATGATTTTATTGACCTCGTAGATCACGTATTAGTTACGACCAATTAAGCCGTTCCACTTTCGCTCAATTATCTTTAAACACGGATCTATTCGTATAGGAATAAACTTTGAGTGAGTGAAAGAAGCTGCAACCTCGTTTAACCTCCTTGTTCTTCTTTTTCTTCTTCTATTTTTTTCTTTCTTTCTTTCTTTCTTTATTTTTTTATAGCTCGTCGACGTATCAAACGTACGACACATACGCATACTCACGCATCAAAGTAAAAGGTTGATTTCTGTCACTGTGTATGTGTGTACGCGTGTGTGTGTTTATTTTTATTCTTCTCTCATTTTGTTCTTAGTTAATCGATTTATTTACTTAAATATCGTAGTGCAAGTATTTAATCAAATTAAATAAATAATTATACGTGTTCGTGTAATGAATTTTAATTAATTGTTAGAAGAAGGGAATTGAAAAATGTGTCAACATGTGTTTATTATGTGTTTACATCAAGTATGAAAGATAGATGTAAAAGATTAAAGAATTGTATATCTGTGTAATAAGACATTTAATTAATTGGTTGAAGTAAGAGAGTCTCAATACTTTTTTTTTTCTTTTTTCAATGATATACAGATAAAATAAAAACTATATTATATTACGTGTACAAGTTACACGAATTAAATATTATTAACTTATAGACAATATATATCAATTTGTAATAATAAATCATCGTTAGATTTGATATTATAAAATTCTACTTTAAATATTATTGTTTTTTTGTTCGTACGAGCTTGCATAACATGATTAAATATTTATTTATATTTAATATTAGATTTTATTCATATTTAAAATCAATTTGATATCATTAAAGTTTATTATTTTTTTATTTATATTAAATTTAATTTTAATTATATTATAATTAAATATATATTTTATATTTTATATCTATTTACTTTAATATATATAAATTACGTGTCACACGTTGTTTGTCCGCAATGGACTCCTAAACTACTGAACCGATTTTCATAAAATTTTTCACACTGTGTGCAGTTTCATCCAACTTAAAAGATAGGATAGTTCATATCTCAATTTATAATCGCAATATTATTTTATTGCAAATTATTTGTTTATTAACAAAGAGATTATCTCTGTTAGTTCGATAAGATTCTCATAGATGGCGATATAAGGTAATTCGTTGACTTAAAGACGTGTGTATCGGACGTGGCGGGACACCCCTAGTATTATATAAATTTTAATATAAATTAATTTTAATTATTTAAGTATGATTATTAAAATTATGTTATAATTTAATAATTATATGTTAATTATTTAAGTATGATTTATTAATTATTAATTATATAAGTATGAATTATAAAGTATGGTTATTAAAATTAATTTATCATATGATAAAATAAAATATTAATTGCAAATAAAATTTGACAAATAACTTGACATTTAGTTAAGATCAAATAATTATAAAAATATTTTCAAATATAAATTATATTATTATAAGAAATATATATATATCGTTTATTTATAAATAATATTTTTATTTGTATTTAGAACGCACAGATATGTACGATATCGTGGCGGAGAAGGAAACGTTAGAAGAAATTCGTCGTTCTTTGGAAGAGGATGCGGATTATCCAGTTATAGTGAGTCGTTTATTATTATTATTATTATTTTTTTTTTTTTTTGGTTCAATTATACTATTTTATCAGTACTCGCGAAATGACGTATCCATATTCGAATGACGTTTCAATTATACTCAAGCATTTACACGTACCATGAGTACCTTTTGATAAAAAGATAAGAATATAAAATGTTTTTGTTTTATGACGTTACAGTTTTTTTCTTCTCTTTTTTTTTTTTATTCTTTTCTTTGTTTTTGTTTTTTTTCTTTTACCTGTTTGATTGGAAATAGATAATTTATTGTCATTGAATTATTTTACAATTTTTAATTCATCATAATTAGTCATTTTATATATAACCAATGAAAATTTCTATGATGATTTTCAAAATTAATCGATTAAACTATCTTCTAAAAGATCTAAAGATAAACTGAAGTTCCTAGTTTTGTAATTTAGTTTACTTTAAAATAAATCGTTCGTGTTTAAATTTAAACATTGACAAATGCATTTGCCAAAGAACCTAATCAGAACATTAACAATAAAATTGCTTGGATGAAAACAATTAGACGATAAAAAAAATTCTGTAAATAATTACAAATGAAAATCATTACGTAGAACTTTATTTTTATAAAATAATAAGATTAAAAAAAAAAAAAAAAAAAAGAAAAAAAAGAGGACAAGAATTGTTATCGTTAAAATGATGGAACATAATTACTTTTTTTTCTTTCTTGTTCTTTTTTTTTTTTTTTTATTTTTCTAACAAGAAAATTGTTTATTAAAAATGTTTAGATTAACAATGTTATCGATTATACGTAAAATGCAATATTATCAAGAATTATTTCATTGGAGGAACTTGCTTATCGATGATATCTCCATTTCTGTTTTTAACAATATTATAGTTAAGACAATCTCGTTATCCGATCAATGATGATGATGATCAGTATAATAACGATTGTCCCTATAGAGAAACATTTTCTGCATTAGTTTAGTTAATCCTTTTTTAAATAGTGTCAACCACACACACACACACACACATTTTCATTATCTTTGGAATCTAAGTTTGAATAGAATTTTTACACGTACATGTGTATATGTGTGTGAGATATACTAAGTGTGTTACTTGTGTTTGTATGTATTATATATTTATTTAATTGATCGTGAATAAGATGAATGATTCAAGAAGATCTACTCAACCAATTTTATATATTTGTGGTTCTACCGAGAATCAAAATAATATTAATAATGATAATTCTCTTCCGTGGTATTCGAGTATATTTGATACATTGTGTGGTAGTATGAGATCAAAATGGTCGGTTCAAAAGACCAATAAAAAAATGCACGATTTGTCAAGTTTATCAAGAAACAGAACTATACCAATTACGGTACGTTTTTAATAGAAATGTCAATCAAAATAATTATTAATCAAATATATATTACTTATATTTAATATCTATAATGTGGTATATATTAATATTAAATAATTATAAAATATTATTATATATATTTAATTTTTAATTTAATATATAATATATTTTTATATATTATATATTAAATATTTATATTATTTTTATTTATTAATAAATTAATTTATTATTATATAATTTATAAAAATATATTTATATTATATATATAATTATAATTATTAAATATATGTAATATATAATTTTTTATATAATATTTTAAATATTTATATAATTGATAATATATATTTAATTTAATTTATAAATAATAATTTTATTGTTATATGTATTAATATAATATAATAATTAATTAATTAGTAATTAATTAAATTAAATTAAATAGTATAATAATAAAGTAATATAATAGTAAAAATATAGTAATAATAAATAAATGAATAGAAATTGTTTAGAAATTGTAATTGATATTTCAAAAAAAGAAATTAATTAATATAAATGACTTTAACTCAAATTTATTATTATTATATAATAATATTAGTGATAATAAATAAATGAATATAGAAATTATTTATTAATGGTAGTTGGCATTGTTTTTAAATTATTCGCTCAACTTCACACGCGTTTTAATAATTTATTTATTGTAACCTAAAATAATTAAAAGAATAAAACATATTTAAGTATGAAGGATTTGAATGGTAATTTAGAAAAGAAAAATGGTTTCGTGTCTAGTCCACGATCAAGGAGACGAGCGAAAATTTACAAACAACTTCGATTGCAATATCTTGATAACGAATTCATAGGAGTACGTAAATTATTTCCCTGACGATGCACCGAAATCGTAAATAAGTATGTTTCTAAATCGTTAATTATTATCGATTGGAAATTTTAAGGGTTGTTTTACAATTTTATCTTTTCTATTTTTATTTCTATATAAATAATAATTTTATTTAAGTTGTATTTATAAATTTATTTCATAGAAAGGACCACAGGATATCAACTCTCATCTTTTAACTTCGACTGCTCCTGGCCTTATAAAAGTAAGTTAAAATTATTATATTATTATATTATTATTAAAAAAAAAGGGTTGTATTATATTTATATCAAAATTTGTAGAATACTTAATTAATACGAAACGAAACAATATGTAAACGTAATTTAATTAAATTAGTTTTCTTTGAATTTTTTTTTTATTATATTTTAATTATATTTTTATTATATTTTTATTATATTTTTATTATAATTTTTTAATTTTAATTTATATTATAATTAATTATATTTATTAATTTTTATTCTATTTCCTTGAAAGCAAAATTGTATCGAAGCAAAACAATAATACTAATTCAAATTGATTTAATTCCATAGAATTTAAAAAAAAAAACATATATATAAGTGTTGAATAATAATTACAGTAAAATAAAAAATAAATTCTATAGATTTAAATTAATTAAATTCTATAAAATTTGAAATAAATCAAATGTAAGTTGTGAACATGTTTGATTAAAACTAAAATTTATGATTGCATTAATGTTTCTTTTTTTTTTTTATTTTACTTTTGTGTAGATATTATTAGTTTTTAGTAAAGATGATCAACAAATGGAAATTCTTGCTAATATTTCGGGTCGTTTGGGTTGGAGCGTTTCGGTGGCTAAAGATACGGAAAAAGCCGTAGAAATTTTTCAAACACGTGGTCACGAATTAGTCATAATCGATCACAGAGGACAACGTGCTGTCGAGGGTGATGCAATTTGTAGGTAAGTTTAATGCAATAATAATTTAAAATCTTACTAAACAAAATATACAATTTATTTATTTGATTTAACTGTTTTTTTTTAATTACCTTTCTTCATTTTTTTTTTTCAGAGCAATCAAATCTAGTCCGGTTTATCACAGTTCCGTCATAGTTGCACTCGTTAAAAAATCGTAAGTGAAAAATACCAATTTTTTTCTGTAATAAAAAAAAAAACAAAATTAAATCTAATTAATATAATAAAATAAATAATTTCAGGTATTTAATGAACAGCGAAAAAGACGAGATTGTGACCTTGGATTTATTAGAGAAAGGATTTTCAAGAGTAAGTTTTTATTCTTGGAAACAAAATGAGCATTGTGATTTTATGTATATGATTTTATTTAGAAAAAAAAAAAATAAAAATAAAACAAAGCATAATTAACAATAAGTGAAAGGATTTGGTGGTGATCATTTTTTAGACACTTATGGAGTGTTCGAACGAGGGTATATTGATAAACGAATTAGTAGGAATTTATACCAGTTCAGTATTACCAAAAACCCAATTAGCATCGGCTCATGCATTGTATTTGGCACTTGACAGGTGTCACGATATGGTTCACATAACTAACGAACGAAACATCGTACAGGTATATATTAATATTTTTTTTGTTATTTAAACAAACACTGAAATATATTTTGATTGATATTTTGTTGACAGTTTATTAACAAAGTGACCGAAAAATTATTAGGATATAAAACGGAAGAATTGACAGGAAGAAATCTCGGTGAAATAGTCCATTACGAAAATTTTACTTTGATGGAACAACAATTAAGCAAGGGAAGAGAATTTGAAGGGAACATGAATTGCAAGAGGAAAAATAATCAAATGATTACTATCAATTGCAGGATAATACCATTTTGTATTACACCAAAGTAAATTCATCATTTCGTTCATTATTCTTTCATTATTTATAAATATTTTACTATTTGAATATTATTAAACATATTACTTTGAGTTATTTAATAAAATATTTTATAATTAAATATTACACTAAACATTAATAAATTTTAGGAAGGCGACTCATTTTATATACGTTTACGATACTTTATATTTATTGGAAAATTCCGGACCCCTAAGTCCATTAAACAATTCATTATCAATGCAAAGAATTAGTTTAATTTCCGGTAGAAAATCATCCGACGTTAAATCAGCCTTAAGCGATGGTAACACGATTTTTTAATTATTTCAATTTATCACCAGATACATCTTCTTATTTTTAATATTTTTTAAATATTTTTTTTAAAGGGCACAGACGATCGAGTTTGCAAAAACTTCACAGTTTACAATTGGAAGCACCAATTACGAAAGTAATCACGTTGCTTTCTAACGCCATTACGGAATCAACGAATCCTGAAACTGTTGCTCAAATCGATAAGGTAAAAATCAAATGACTTCGATAAAATATTGAATTTAAAAAAATGAGAAAATGTCATTGATAAAATAATACGTTCCTGAATTTGTAATCAATCATTTTTCTTAGGCAATAGAAATATTAAAAACAACAGAATTGTATGTTCCACATTTTCGAGACGATAAAGTTTACACCGATCCAGTTGCAACAGATCTTGTTGGTGCATTACTTTCGGTAATTTATTATTGTGTTTGTATTATTTTATTATTATTTTTTATATGTAATTTAATTATAATTGTTTCCACAGTCTTCTCGTAATCCTTGGGACTCGAGAAGATCATCAGCCGATTCTGCAAGATTATCAGCAGTCAGAGGTATAAGCATAATATCTGCAAGGACCCCATTAAAGGCTTTTAGAGGACCTCAAGAAATTATGGAATTGTTGGAAAATAGTCTCGAATGGAACTTTGATATATTTAAACTCGAAGTGTTGACAGAGAAACGGTAATAAAATTTGTTTAATTTTAACAACACATTAAATTAAATTAAATATAATATAATATAATAATATAAATAATAATTTATTTAATTATAAATTATTATTTATATTATTTATTATATTTTATTTAATTTAATTTACTTTATTAATAATTTCATTTTCATTTTCGATCGTAAAATATTGAAAAAATTAATTTATGGGAATATAAATGAAGCACTCGATACACCATTGAGGTATAATTTGAAAAAAAGAAAAAAAAACCATAAATTTATGTTTTTGTAGGCCATTACTATATCTCGGTAGGACCATAATGAATATGTTCGATGTACCAAGCAGATTGAATTGCGATGAAAATACCATACAAAACTGGTTGAGTATAATCGAGGCTAATTATAGATCGGACAACAGTTACCATAATTCAACTCATGCGGCAGATGTAATGCAAGCTACTGCAAGATTTATGCAATCGGAAAGATTGAAACAAATTTTGGAACCTTTGGATGAAGTTGCTGCTTTGATAGCTGCTGCAGCCCATGACATTGATCATCCTGGTAGATCCAGGTAAATTATTGCTTTTAAATTATTTTTGAAGTGAAAACTTCTTTAGATTGGGAGTGATCTGAAAAGTAAATAAACGGAAACGGAGCTATGTAACGAAGCTATGAAACGGCTGCCATACTAAGTAATGAGAGAAAAAGAGACAAACATAGGATTTAGACTGCGAGGGAATGAGACGGAATATAGCTATACAGTTTTTCCTATTCTCGGTCTCCACTTTATGCTATGCTTCGTAGTTATCGCTCCTGGTTGTATATGTGTGTGTTGGTGTGTGCGTGTGATTACGAGGCTTTTTAACGAGGCTTTTTTACGAGAATCTTCTACGAGACCTAATTAAACACACCCTACGGACTTATCGGAAAGACCCTACGGACTTATCGGAAAAAACCTCACTACTTTATTAAAAAAACCTCACTACTTTTCGGAAAAAACCTCACTACTTTTCGGAAAAAACCTTACTACTTTTCGGAAAAAACCTTACTATAGAGGTGTTTACTACACTAACAGAGGTGTTTAGTTACCATGCATTTTTTAGTTACCAGAAGCAACTCGTCTCATTTCTTTGAATTGAAAACTTGCTTACTGTGTAATATGTTATCTATTTATATATGTTTTCAATAAAACGTATAATAATTTTTGAATGTGATAACAATAATATAATAATAATATTATAACAAATAAACCCTACAATTATCCTACTCCTGATATTCTGCAGTCGTCTCATTCTCTCGAAACTTAGATTTTCGAAGGTTTCACTTCTAACACGTGTGATCTGCCCACATGATATTTTTTTTTTTACAATTTTATCCTTTCTTTCTTTTTCCTTAAACATCAAAGTATTCATCAGAGTGATAATGAATAAAAGAAATGTTTTGTAGAATTATAATAGTTAGATTATTTAAATGAAAATAATTATTTATTAATTATGTATAATTTTAATATTTGAAATGAAACAATTTTTCTAGTTCAATTTCAATATTATTAATTATTGTTTTATTTCCAAATTTTTACAGCCAATTTTTAACCAATTCCAACAACAAATTGGCAATACTTTATAATGATCTGTCAGTCCTCGAATCGCATCATGCAGCATTGACATTTAAAATATCTTTAGCTGATGACAAAGTTAATATTTTCAAGGTAAATTATTAATTCTTATAAACAAAAAACAAGTTTCACAATAATTATTAAGAAATAAATAATTTTTTCCTTTTTTTTTGTAAAATATTCTTCATTATTTTCAGAATTTAGATCGTGATACTTACAAGATATTAAGAACGAACATAATCGATATGATATTGGCGACAGAAATGACGAAACATTTCGAACATTTGGCAAAATTTATGAACGTTTGTAGTTTAAGGGTTGAAGAAGATCAACCAATGGAGGTATAATAAACAATATTTTGTCAAATTCATTTATAAATATTAAAATATCTAATTTTTTGTCTGTGTTCAGTATTCTTCTGACAGAGTTGACAATGCAATACTTTTACAACCGGAAAATGTAATACTCGTGAGAAGAATGATGATCAAATGTGCCGATGTTTCAAATCCTACCAGACCATTACGAGCATGCATTGAATGGGCTAGAAGAATAGCTGAAGAATATTTCAGTCAAGTATGAATTTCAATTTCAAACAATTTTATCATTTTTAATATCATAAATCATCGGAGCTAAAATATTTAACTTTCAAACACTTTAAATCAATTTGCACGAATCATTTTAAAAAAATATATATATTCTAGAATTTAATTAATTAATTAATAACATTTATTTTTGGTACTTACTGTAATTTAAATCCCAATTTTATATATTTTTTTTTCAGACTGATGAAGAGAAACAATTAAAAATGCCAGTAGTAATGCCAATGTTTGACAGGATGATATGTTCGATACCAAAATCACAAATTGGTTTCGTTGATTTCATCATAAACGACATGATTGAAGCTTGGGACGGTTTGTGAACTTTATAATTCACGTTTTTTTTTTTTTTAAATCTTACTATAACAAATAATAATAAAATATTAATTATTTGTGTTGTAGCATTCATTGATATGCCAGAAATACTTGGTTACATGAGACACAATTATGACAAATGGAAAGAATTTAATGTAAGTTATCAATCTACCTATTATAAATATTTAATAAAAATTATTACATATTTAGGAACTTTTTTAATTAATTATTTAATATGGTTAACTGATTATATATATATTTTTTTTAAGCAGGATCAAGGTATAACAACATTGCAAGATATCGAAAAGATTCAAATGCAACAGGAATATAGCATACCAAGGTTACCCAATGGGCGACGATGAAACAAAAAAATTAATATTATTTTTATAATAATTTTCTAAATTTTCCGTCCCCGCTCAATTTCTACCTGGAAAACGAGAAACTGCTATGAAAATGCGTTCAGAAGACTCCGACAAATGTGTGTCTGTGTATGTATGTGTATGCATGTGTGTGTTTGTTTAACAATTCAGTACGTTTTATCGCATATTTATATGTTACATAGGATTTAATTTACAAAGTTTGTATGTTTTAAGTGAGTATACTTCGTTATATATATATAAGATTAGTAGAGAAAAAAAATTAGAAAACAAAAAAAAAATAATTAATAATAATAATAATAATAATATATGACAAGAAGCAGTTTAGCTTGATCGAAATATAAAAAAAAAGAAAAAAAAACAAAGATTGATTATTTTCAAATTGTTTCACGTTCGCTGTACAAACGACAACTGAACTTCGCGACAACCTGGTAAAAAATCAACCCTTTTGAATTATTAAATAGCAACAAAAAAGTATAACGTTATGCAATTTCAACGATTGCTTTAACATCGAACAATTTACAAAAGCGATTTCGCAAGTACTGAAATCGCGTGTCATGAAAAAACCACAACCGGCCGATTTTCTTACAACCCCTCCTCCCCCCCCCCTAGCCACCCTTTCTTACACTTTGCATGAGAATTCTGATGTCATACATTACTTGAAATTATTATTGATCGTTGAAATAAACGTGTAATCTTTGTATGAAATCGTAAAAACATAGAGAAGGGTACGAGTACCGAAATAAGCTTCAAGGAAGAAAGAAAAAAAGAAAATAATTTCCTTCGATATATCCGATAGAAAAAAAAAAGAAAGCAGGAAAAAAACATGACGCATGAGTTAGGGTTTCGTAATATGGGATATAAATCGCATGTTGATTACGTGGTGAAGGTTGCACGAACCCTTTTAACGCCGATAGGTATCTGGCCGTTGTATCGTGGCGACAGTTTATCTGACAAAATCAAAATGTACATTCAAATAAGTTTGATATTTGGTCTGATGTGTTGTCTATTGATACCCCATTTGATTTATACTTACTTCGATGCGGAACAATTAATAAAAGAGATGAAAGTAATAGCAGCCCAGGTGTTCAGTACATTGGCAATTGTTAAATTTTGGACGGTTATAATTAATAGAAAAGAAATTGGTTATTGTTTGTTGGAAATGGAACGACAATACAAAGAAGTTGAATGTGAGGATGATCTGATGGTTATGGTTAAGAGTGCTAAAATTGGTAGGCTATTTACAATAGCTTATTTAAGTTTATCTTATGGTGGGGCTTTACCCTATCATATTATTTTACCATTGGTTGCTGAACCAATTGTCAAGGATGATAATACTACCATGTTACCCTTACCCTATTTGAGTGATTACATTTTTTTCGTTGTTGAAACTTCACCGATATTTGAGATATTCTTCGTTGGTCAGATATTCGTAAGCAGTATTATACTGTCAACCAATTGTGGGGTTTACAGTTTAATCGCTAGTTGCGTTATGCACTCATGTTGTTTGTTCGAAGTTGTACGTAGACAAATTGATACGATATTTCAATATGAAACTGAAGAAAATCTTCGTAAAAGGATTTATGTTATCATCGATAATCATCTTCAAGCTATCAGGTTGGTTGATTGATTGATTGATTTTCAATTTTTTTGTTGACACATATTTTTTCATTAATAATATTTTGGTGAATCATTTGCAGGTATGCTGAAAAGATTGAACAGGCATTGAATATTGTTTTTCTTTGCGAAATGGTCGGGTGTACTATTATTATATGTTTCTTAGAATTTGGTGTACTCGTGGTATGTATGAAAAATAAAATATATATTTTTATTTAAACAATTATACGAGTAGAAATATTTCATTGCGATTAATTAAACAAATTGATATTTGATATCGTGAATTAATATATATAATATCAACGTTTACTTACTTGTAAATTTTTGTATATTTTTGATCAACGTGTACGAGCTTTGTTTTAAGTTTAATATTAATATGAAATCAATTGTTTATAACTTTATAGGATTGGGAAGATAAGGAAACTTTGGGTATGATGACTTATGGGGTTTTAATGACATCAATTTTTGTCAACGTTTTTATCATTTCTTATATTGGTGATCGTCTGAAAGAAGAGGTAATCATTTTTTTAAGATTCAAGTTATTGTAATTACTTTTTTATTATTTACTCTTACTTACAAATGTTATTATCAAAAGAGCGAACTGGTTGGCGAATCAACATATTCGATCGAGTGGTATCGTCTTCCCAGTACTATAATAAAAGATTTGGTTATGATAATTGTACGTTCTAATCGACCATCTCGTTTAACAGCTGGAAAAATTTTTGACGTATCACTTCAAGGTTTTTGCGATGTGAGTAATATTCTCAATTATGTTGATAAATTTATCTGATTAATATTACGTCAGCTGATGTAAATAAACCAAATTAGAAAATTGATTATAAAATATTATATATAAGATTTATTATGAAATACACAAAAATCAATTTAATACCAAGTTAAATATTAACAAATAATAATAAAACAATATTTATTATTTATAAGAAAGTAAAGATAGTATCATATTAAATTAATTTTCAATCAAAATTTGTAGAAAGAAAAGAAAAATAGGAAATATATTTTTCGCAGGTTTGCAAGACTTCGGCTGCCTACCTGAATTTTCTTCGAACCATGGTTGCATGAATTGTTTCTTAAATAAAAAAAAATAATCCTTGCTATACAACAAAACCATACAAAAAAAAAAACTATCAATATTTTGTTTAAAATCTCACAAACCGAGTATCACAATAATCATTGAAAATAATCAAGTATATCTTATTGTTAAATTTATCTTACTATAAATGTATCACTTGAAAGAAAAATAAACGTTTAAATTAATCTGGAACAAAATGGTAAATAAAAATCATCATTCGCGTGTATTCACCATTGACAAGAAAGGATGATCGTCTAAAATAAAAAATCAAAAAAATCAAACTTTCTAATAGACCTTAGAAAATACTACGTTTGAAACTTTTCCATTGCGCAAGCAAGCGCGCACAGATATTTCTTGCGATTTGCTATTTCCACTGACATTAGACTTTTCGTATAAACGTCGATCATTTTCTTGAAATTATCAGAAACAAATCGGATGATCGTCTAAAATAAAAAATCAATAAAATCAAACTTTCTAATAGACCTTAGAAAATACTACGTTTGAAACTTTTCCATTGAATTTTTCAGCAATAAAAAAAAAAAATAACAGCTTCTCATCCTATCCTTTCCAAGTTTTTCGAACGTATGTTCAAGAAATTAAAAGAAAACGTTTGAGTTTAAGTTTCATGAATAATTCTAAAGATACGCAAGCGCGCACGGATATGTCTTGCGATTTGCTATTTCCACTGACATAAGAGTTTTCGTATTAACGTCGATCATTTTCTTGAAACTATCAGAAACAAATCGAACGCAATCATTTCTCTTACAAACCTTTTCTGTTAAGGGGTAAAGAAAAAAAACAAAARAAGAAGAAGAAAGAAAGGAAAGATATCAACAGAAAAGAAAAAGAAAAAAAGAAAAACAACAAAAACAACTTTGTTATGATTATATACGAGAAGAATAAAAATTACGAAGAAGATTTGAGATATACGAACGAGTTGTGCGATTATTTGCTTCGTACTTTAGGCGTATGGCCATTTTCGAAAGCGACGAAAAATACAATAACAAAAAGTTTATTTAAATTAATAATAATATTACTTTGTTACGGTTTACTTTGTTTTTTCGTAATACCAGCAATATTACATTTGATCATGATAGAAACTAATCCTCACGCAAAGTTAAAAAAATTACCATTGATATTTTACAATGTAATGTCGGTTGCAAAATACAGCGGATTAATATTACAAGAGAATCAAATAGCACGTTGTTTAAGACACGTTGAAGAAGATTGGAAAAGTATTGGTATCGGACCTTATCGAATGATCATGAAAGAAAAAGCTAAAATTGGAAGAAGATTGTTGTTCATTTGTGGAATACTCATGTACAGTAGCGGTGGTTTTAATAGAGTTTTTCTACCCTTATCTAGGGGTGCCATTGTAACATCACAAAATATTACGATAAGACCATTACCTTGTTCAGCTTATTATATATTTTTCGATGAACAAATAACCCCTAATTACGAGATCGTATTTTGTCTGCAGTGCGTTTCAGGATTGGTCACTTATTCCATTACAACAGCTATCTGCGGACTTGCTGCATTATTCGTCATGCACGCATGCGGACAATTAGAAATTCTTGTCGATTTAATTGAAGGTATTGTTAAACAAACCGATTTACAAAAAGAACATACGAATAAACTCATTTCTATTACTGTTGAACATCAAATTAGAGTAAGAAGGTATGAAGAATCATTAATTATTTATTATTTATATTAAATATAATTCGATCGATTATATATATAATAATTTTAAAAATATAATAAAATAATACGTGTTCGTAGTTTTTTGCAAACTGTCGAAGTTACAATGCAACAAATTTGTTTGATTGAACTAATGGGTTGTACACTGACCATGTGTTTTTTTGGATATTGTTTGATTACGGTACTAATGTTACACTTCATTCTTTTTTTTTTAACGTTAATAATTATTTTTTAATTAATAATTATATTAATTTTAAAGGAATGGGGAAATCATACAATTACGAGTATTTGTACTTACTTCGTTGGTCTTTTGTCAATTACTTCTCACATTTTTATGTTCTGTTTTGTCGGTGAACAACTTACTTTACAGGTATAAAACGTCTTATAATTTATACATCTAATTTAAATAATTGTTTATGATCATAGATTATTATTTATTAAATTATTACAAATGTTAGGCAGAAAAAGTGGCATTAACATCTTGCGTATTAGATTGGTATCGTTTACCAAACAACAAAGCTAAAAGTGTTATATTAATTATGGCAATTTCTCATTGTCCAATGAGAATCACAGCAGGAAACGTAATAGAACTTTCTCTACAAACGTTTGGTCAGGTATAATGAAAGTTTGACTAATATTTGTTTGCAATTATTCTAATATTGATTATTTAAATGTATCTCAGTTGGTTGTAGGTTATTAAAACTGCTGCAGCATATTGTAACATGTTAAGAACAGTTACTTAATTATTATTTTATTAAGTAGTCAAATGAATATTATAAAATGTATATGAAAAAACGTTTGTGTGTGTGTATGTGTGAAGCTTGATATGTAAGTTTTTTTTTTTTTTTTTTTAATTTTATTATAAATTATTTTGATATTTCATAATTCTTATAAGAATAATTTGTTAATATTATAATTATATTTATTTAAATGATTGTATGTATTTGACATTTCTTATTTTCAAACGTGTAACAAAAATTTAAAGATCACATCGACTTTTTAAGAATTAACAAAAAAAATTATAAAATGTTATTCAATTATATTTATGAATTGTAAAACGTAATTTATAAAGTTTCTTGAAGTATATTTAATAAAAGGGGTTTGTGTTTTTTCTTTGTAGACGATATAATCTATAATATTCTAGTTAAATATTGATTAGATTTGTTGTAATCGATATTTGCGCAAGTTTTCTACAAATTTTCTATGTATGTATATCTTTCATAGTATTTAAAATCAATATACGGTTTTATTCTAGTAGAATAATGTGTATTTGTAATATGATTCAACTTGTATAAATAAAAAATTAATCTTTAATAAATTTTATAAATTATTAACACAAAAATAAAATTAAAATTATCTACAAAGTATTATTTTCGTAAATTATTTAGAATGAATTTTTACAATAGTTTAATCAATGATAATGCAGAGTACAGTCAATATTTTATCTACTAAGATTTTGTATTATTATCATTTACCAATCTTATCATCAACAATTGATATTACCGACATTATTGATTTTTTTTTTGTATCTACATTTATTGGTAACTTATCTACAGTATAAATTTGTTTATTTAGAATTGTTAGAATTAAAAATAGTTTAAATACAATTTTTCTTAAATGATATTTCTAAAATTTTGTTTTGTTTCAATTTATATAGAGAATTAATTTTCATATTTAATAAGACAATTTGATTGTGAAATAAAATACTTAGAATAATATTTTTAATTTGATTAGAACATTTGCGCAAAGATAATAATTACAAAAGGATGGGAATTTGTAGAAATAATTAATTACATATTTGTCATAGTTAATAATTATTTATTTCAATTTGTATTTTATTAATCTTTCTGAATGTGATACTCCATTTATCTTTTTCTTTTTATAATAGTTAGAAGAGTTACATTAAATTATGTATTTTCAATGTTTTTCGAAACAATTGTAGAAAAATTCTGATTTTATATCGAACTACTTTATTCTTTCATTTTATATCATTTAAATATTAATTTATGTTATTTATATCATTGTCATTATCTATTTCTATTCTCTTCTATAAATTTTATATTTTGTCAAAATATATTACAGGTACTGAGTAATATGTAATCTTTACATTTCAACATTTTCTTTTAAAAATTATTCTATTACATTTATCTTTCTCGTATATTATTAATTATTATGATCATTCATCAAATTACATTAATTTATAAACAATATATTTTGTATTAAATTATACGTGTCGCATATGTTTCATAATTTTTGTATAATAAAACATTTTGTTCGTATTCTTTATCAATGATTTATTGATTTTACTGATGTATCATAATTTCTAAAAGATTTTCTATTTTCTATTTTCTATTTTATTTCTTATTAGTGTCTTATATTTTATATCTAATTTTTCAGGTAACTTGTAAATTATTATATATATTTTTTTGTTTAATAATTATTATCTCATCATTTCATAGAATTCAATCGTCAGGTTCAGTAAAATGCAACTCGTGATTAGCATACTCCTTCCAGAATGGATTTTCCTGCAAAAAAATAAAATAAAATTATTATCTGCACATTAATTAATTTAATAAAATATGAACAATATTTATTAAAAAATACTAACCTTTATTTATATTGAACCAACTTTGATGAAACCCGCAATGAATTTCAATGTTTTTTTTCCATTTTTATTCCATCATACTTTCTCGATGATAATTATAAATATTTAAATAAATTTTATCATTGTTTATATAAATTTTCCATCATTTGTTTTATCGATATTTCATATTAAATGATCGTCAATGAATTTCATAAGCATCAAGCTATTTTATTTTATTTTTATTTTCAATTAAAATTTATTCAATTTCAGCATCATATGCATTACAATTATTCCATCTAATTGTTTGTTTATTTAATTATATCGCATTTTATATTTTTTGTGCGGGTAGATAAAATTATTCTCTCATTATTTTTTTTATTTTATATTAATTAGAAACAATTTATTTGACTTTTATATTGTTCTTATCCATTTTTATTCCTCACTCGATCCGATGGTACCTGAAAACTCAAATCTTCCAAGAGTAGTATCCGAAAAAAATATCTATGCAATAATTATAATAATTTAATTCTTATATGTATAATATTATATTAATTTGTATAAATATTATTATTATTAAAATATTATTATAAATATTAAAAAATTATTATAAAAATTTGTATATGAATATTTTGCATTAAAGTTTGTAAAAGTTTGTAAAGATTAATATTAATGAAAAAAAAAAAAACAATATCTAAAAATACTACAATCTTGAGGATAAGATAAATGCAGATATTAAAATTGTAAAAATAGATTTTTATATAATTTTTATTTGTAAATAATTAAAAAAGGAAGTGATTAAAAAAAATTATGTAAAATTCTATACTCGTAAGCAAATCTTATTTTGTTTTAGAATAGATATTAAATATAATACTTTGATAGTGTCATTGTGTTTGTTTAAATTATAATTATTTTCATTTATTTTCATTCATATATATATATATATAAATAATAATATATATTGTTTAAACGAACCTTACTCAATGTATTCCTAAAAAAAAAATTTTATTCAAACATTTGCTCTCGTAGAATTCAATTTATGTATCATTTTATTTATTCATCATTTATTCATTAATAATCATAATAATCATTGTCATTTGATCAAATTCAGTATCATAATTGAATAAAAAAAAATTGATTTTTTCAATTACGTGAATATAGTCATAATAATAATAATAATCATGATTGATAAAAATATATCAGTTGATTAGTTGTAATTTTTAAAGAAGATTTTCTAATCATCGTTAACTTTCATTTATGTTGTATCTAAATTTCTTTCACCTAAGGATATAAAGAGTTAGTTTATTTAAAAAAAAAAACAAAAAGGAAGAAAAAAAAAAGAAATGGACGATGACATAGCGAGTCTTAATTATGATTGCAATTATAACCTTTACCTTGCCAAACGATTGGTCATCGATATGAAAAAAGTTCGCGGTAAATTCATTGATATTAATTATAAATAATACATTAAAATAATTAACGATAATTTTGATGTTATATTCGAGTAGAAAAAAAAATCTACACTTACTGGTTTTTTTTTACTTTTTTTTTTATTCCTTATTTCATTTTATTATTATCTTTTTTTTTTTAGTTATTTTTGTATTAAACTTCTGTCACATAGTTTCATTGCATAATAATAATTTTGTATTATTATATATACTTTTGTTTCTTTCTAATTATTTGCAATTGAAAAAAAAGAAAAGTAATATTAAAATATGATTTATTTGTTCCTAAAATATTCTAAAAATAATGATTAAAAAGTAATCCTAATATTTTATTATAAACAATGCATAGTTAAAGTTTGTTAAAACAATCCACGTATTATTTGAAAGCATGCTATCTAATTATTATCATTAAGCTTTAATATTAAATTGCATAATAATATTTGTTAATGTTAATTTTTATAAAATGCGCTAATGTAAAAACTTACGTCTCTTTAATGCAATTATTAATTCAATTTAATTTGCAAAATGGTCACATATTTTTTTCTTTCTTTCTTTCTTTCTTTTGTATTAATAAGTAATTTAATTGCATTTTAAATAAGTGCTTGCAAAATTCCTTGGTAAACTTTTTATGTTGTTTTCAATTATTTAAAGGATCGATTAAACATTATCAATGTAATATTGTGGTCAAAAAAAAATGTGTTTCTTCTTTTTATATATTTTTTTTTTTATAGATCGGCAAAATGCAGTCAAGTGGTTACGTTTTTTGATGAATAATACCAGCAACGATATAGTTGAAATAAAACTTAGGAATGATTTTATGCATTATTTAGTATTAAATCTTCAAGAAGGTCAGCTTGGATCACCATTCGATAAACCACCGCCAATTGTTGCTTCTCTCATGGAAATAGCAGATTTTATTGTCAGTAAATTTGTTTTTTTCTTTTATTATAACTTTTTGTCTTCTAAATCATCATCTATCTCTCTTCTATACTATTTCACTTCTCATTGTATTACGTAATATATAAATAATAAGTATATATTATATTTTAAATATTATTCTAATGGAGTATTTTATATAAAGTTGTTTGTGTTGTATTATAAAAAATTCAGATAGTATTGTAGGAAAAATAAGTTTCAATTAATTATTAATAGATTATATATTTTTCATTTTGTAATCGTTCAATGGGTATGTGTTTCATATTTCGAATCAATTATATTTCCTACAGTGGGGAATTAAATATATAATATTATTAATTATTTTTTTTTTCTTTTTTTTTAAATTAATTTATACCAAGGGGTGTTGTGTGACAACTATTGTAATAAAATTGCCAACACTTTTTTATCAAATATGATCAATTATTATTTATTGCAACTCGTTCGAAATGTCCATTAACATTTTCTTTTCGTAATAATTCTTTCTTTTAGTTTTTTTTTTTTTTTTTCAATTTGGAATTTCTATTTTCATTTTTGACTTTTTCTGTTTTGATGCCGGACACAAATAATTTTTATCAATTTTCTTTTTGACATAGGAAAACAACGTGTAATTAAATGTTTTATTAGTTTGAATGTTTTTTTTTTTTTTGTTAAAGTTATAAATAAATTGTTAACAGGGAAAATGGAATAATAATATTTCATGAAATATGTAAAAATTCATTTGTCAAATATTTTTTAGCCTAACGACAAAATCGATGATGTTATCGATGATGGATTAGATTCAACGAATGATTTAGAAGACCCGGATAAAGAAAAATCAATGATAGCATCTTTATCACCCGACAATGGTGAATTTTTGGCATCACAACCTGTACCCCATCATGGTTCATTTTGTTATTTAGCAATAACTTCGAAGAAAAAAGATAATTAAAAAACACAAAAATATGATTCTTCATAATTAATTTCATTTCAATTTTTCTCTCTCTCTCTCTCTTTAATCAATTCTCTTATCAATTCAATCATTTTTATCAAATTTATTTTTATTCATTTTATTACTTTCGCGCTAATATTTTCTTGATAAATATTCAATTTTATTCAATACACACTTATTTTTTTTTTTTTTTTATTAGTTTATTACGTCATTCGTATTTAATTTTTGTAATTATAGTAATCAAATATATTTCTGTCATCATTTATTCACAACGTATATTCTTCATATTATTATCGAAGTTTTATTTATATAAATTGTTCATTTATTTTCATTATTAGGGTGTAACTTTACGCTCCCTTTAAGCGAATAGGAAAACTGGAAAATATATAAAAAAAATAAAAAAATAAAAAATAGGAAAAATAGTATTTGGCCATTGCAAAAAGCAGCATAGTTTTGTTACTAGACACTATATTAATTAGCTTCTAGTTTATTTATAATTCGTTTAATTTTTAATTTTTGTTTGTTTTTTTTTTTTTTATTATTATTCTTACATCACATTAAATTATTTTTAATAGATTATGCTATTTAAAATGCAGAAAAATCTAGCGTATTATTATATTCTATTAGGCTTTTTTAAATTTATTTTATAAACGTTGTTTCAACTTGCAAACATTGTCAAACAATAAGAAATTTAATTAGAGGATTGTAGCATCGTTAAAAAAAAAAAAAAAGTAAAAAAATCTTATTTCATATATAGTGCCTTTAATTTGGATTTTGAATCATGCAAAACAATTTTTGATGATTTTGTAAAAAATTGTTCAATTAATTTACACACACAAACATGAAATGTAAAAATAGTAAAGCGATTTGAAGAAATTGCTTTGAAGAAATACATTAAATATTGTCATAATATTCTTTCATAATTATAAATATTTTATGAATTTAAACAAAAAGAAATTTTAAATACATTTGTTTGTTTAATTATTTGTCATTTTTGAATTATAAAAAATACGATAAACAAGCAATGGCTTTTGAAAAATTCATAATGTTCAATTTCATACTCATGCTTCCGTAACAAAATGATCATATTTAAAAGTAACAAATTAATTTAGATAAATATTTCAATGTTATTTATTTAAAAATGTCATTAATCATTGACACAAGTGGACAATTATAATTTTTTGATTATTATATTATAAAAATATTGATTAAAAGTTTCATTAATTAATAAAAATATTGTATCAGGGTATATCATATTTCATACTCATGCTTTCAAAACTATGATCATATTTAAATAACAAATTATTTAACAATTACTTTTGAAATATCTTAATATTTCAATGTTTTATTTTTCATTAATAATATTTCATTTTTATCAATTTGTTATAATCTTTATTATTGATATAAATATATTTGTCTTATCTTAGTTTGTTTATCACTTAGATAAAATATATATTTAATAATTATTTCAGATAATTTATTTATTTATGACACTTAATACAAATTCATAAATTCATTTTCTTATACTTGGCAATAATTTATTGATTATTATTATTATTATTATTATTATAATAAAATGAATATTATTTGTCATTAAGATATGATCAATTTAGTTTCAAATCAATATGTACAACACATTATTATTATATCGATTTATTATCGATTTATTCACGTAAACAAGCGACACATCAATCCTGTCGTTGCATGCAAAAGAAAGAAAAAAAAAAACAGAAAAAAAGAAAAAAAAAAAGATACGAAAGAATCGTGCAGCTTTAAAATAAACAAATTGTTTCATATAATATATAATTTGTGTTTGTTTCATTGAAATATAGAAATAAATTACTCAACATTGTTATAAGTCGCGTTAAAATTGAAATAACATTTAATATAGAAAAGATTTACGTGCAATTTGTATAAATATTATATATATATATTTGTTAAATAAAATATTTCATTAAAGATAATATATCAGAAAATTCAGCAGATGCACATGTTATTAGAATTTGTAAATGGTTATATAAGAAAAAAAAAATATTTTTAACGATCAATACTAATTCTATTAATTATTTTAATTTATTTATTTAAAAAAAAAAGTGGTATTTTATTATTGCGACTAATTGAAAAATGATTTAAAAATGTATGTACATGTATAGAGAAAAATATTAAATGATGTAGGAATAAATAAAAAAAAATGTTACAAATCAGATAATTGGTAATATTTTTGTTTATTATTATTTATGCATATTAAGACGAAATATGAAAATTGAAAAGAATAATAATAATTCATACAATTGAAATATCAAAAAGAAAAAAGAAAAGATACATGCAGATCGAATCAAAACTGCAACATATTTTTTTATCTCGATAGATATATCATATTTTATTTGATATTTATCATATTTAAAATCTAATTCATATTTTATTTTCAATATATAAAGAAATTATTTAATTCAATAAAATAATACTTCATCGAAGGAGGTCGTGTAATTAGGAAAAAAAAAAAAAAAATAGAAAAAAATAGAAAAAAATTACAACGGAATATTTGTGGGCGTTAAACCAACGAAGTTTTTATGTTTAAAAAAACCCATATACATGTTGAAATATTATGTGAAACTTATTCATCTTTAAGTTTCATTTTTTTTCCCTGCATTAATGCATCTTTATAAATATTTTATTTTTGTTAATAATTAATAATTAATTACATATATTGTTACAATATTTATCATTTAAATTGGTTTTTGACTAAATTTTGAGGCTAATTAATTATATTATTTATTAACTTGTATAAGAGTTTTTACGTACAAATCAGTGCTACGTCAAAACGAACCTAATTGATGAATATATTGATGAATATATATAAATATATATATATATATGTATTTCTCGTTCACTTTCTTTTTTTATCCTGATCTATGTTGAATTTTTATATGTTTCAAAATTGCAACCTAATGCTAAATTGTTTTTCTTCTTTCTGTTCTGCCTTGTGCTTTGCTTGTATTTGATTTTCTTTTTTTTTTTTTTTGATTTTTCTTTGCGCGATCGACGTGCTCCAATATATTTTGCACGACACAAAAATCGAAGGTTTTTACGCACACAGGTTGTTTTTTTTTTTTTAACATCCGTTATTTAATATAATAATAGATCAAATATTCTATAAGACGTTCTTTGAGGAAGTATAATTTATTTATTTATTTTTTTTTATATTAATATCATCTATAGATCTATAGATTTGAAATATTTTTTGTGTCTGTGTTTGTGTATTATATCTATCAATTTTTAAGTCAATAATTTGTCTCACAAATTTATAACAATATTATTTTATAAATATCAATAAATCGTCATGCGTTATATGATATTTTTTTATAATTTTTATATTAATAAATTTATGTGCGTTAAAGAAATCACGCGGGAGATGGAAGGGGTAAAAAATGGTTGCCATTTTTTAATCAGTATACGCTTATGAGATGTAGTTGTTTGTATTTTTTTTCTTTTCTGATCGATGAATAAATTGTATAAAAAAAAAAAAAGAAAAATGTATTGAATAGAATTAGAGAGAATACAAAAAACAAATAGAGGATTGAAGTATTGTAGAATGGAGGATTGAAAAATTGTAAATAAATCGAGAATAAATGTAAAGATGAATAATAGGAATATATGTAAAGATAAATGTATAAGTGATTAGATTAACCAGTTAACTATGATTAATAAAAAAGAAATTAGGAAGTGTATTGATAAAAAGAAAAAATAGGAAAGATGAGAAAGTATGAGAAAAGATATTTTAGAAGATTTTTTTTAACAGGATATTTAGAAATGAAATGAATGATAGGAAAGCAATAATTGATTTATAAGTTGAATAAATAGAATATATATATATCTATAGAAGATATATCAAAAAGAAAGATGAGAAAGTATGAGAAAAGATATTTTAGAAGATTTTTATTAACAGGATATTTAAAAATGAAATGAATGATAGGAAAGCAGTAATTGATTTATAAGTTGAATAAATAGTATATATATATCTATAGAAGATATATCAAAAAGTTTCGTAAGATTGTAGATAAAAAAAGTTAAGCAGGAAGAGTAAGACAAAAAAAAATAATTTAAAAAAAACCATAGGAAAGTCAAGGTGTGAGAAAATGTATTATAGATAAGATAATTGTATAGGATGTTTAGAAAGTTAATGAATGAAAGGAAAGCTGTAATTTCTATCAAGTGACACTATTAAATGATATTCATTTAGGAAATGAGAAACAAAAAAAAAAGAAAAAAAAATATTCACAGATGAAAAGGAAGCTGCGAGAGTATTTAAAAAAAAAAAGAAAAAAAAAAGAAATTGGAAAGATGAATGAATAAAAAAAATTGTAGAGATTGATTAAATGAAAGATATAGATAAGACAGATATAATTTAGATATTTAATTATAATAAAAATATTTAGGAAGGACATAGATTTAGAAATAAAGCTTTGATTTGAAAATAGATTTGTAATAGATTAGAAAATAGGAAAGATATATATATAGTAATACAGAATTTAGGATCAATTGAACAGATATAAGATAATTAGGCAAAAAAGCTCATAAGATAGTATTATTTAATAATTAATGATTTTTTATTAACTTTTTTCGAATTAGAGAAAAATTTAGTGATGAAAGATTCAAAGATTGATTTAAAAGCACAAGATTATTAATTATTATTTTTAAAAAAGCGAAAAAGATTAAAAACATTATAGGAAAGAGTTTGAAATATTTTCTACAATCAAAGTCAATGTAACAAAAAAAAACAAACAAAAGAAAAATTTGACCAATACTTTGAAGAAAAAGCATTTTTACTTCTTCCAACTATTAGATAGAAAGATAAAAAAAAGGAGTCTCGAAAAAAGAAGAAAAAAGGAAGAAGAATTTAAAAAATTGACAGAGAAAGTCAGAAATAAAATCGAACAGCGTAAGTTGATAAAAAAGCTGACGAGAATGGGAATATAAAAATGGATTTAAAAAAAAAA